TAATTATCAAGATAAACCATGGAGGTATCTAGGCACAAGGGGATGATATTGGTTAAGTGTTTCTAACTTTTTAGTGACATTAAATAGTTAATGACTAGTTAGTGATACTAAATCTAATAATTTAATACCAAGATGAACCATGGAGGCATCTAAGGCACAAGGGGCTTATATTTGGTAAGAGTTTCTAGTTTGTTGACAAGCCCAGGCGTCTCCTTACACTCCCACAATGGGAGATTTCTGCTGTAATTCTGTAAGAGCACTGAGTGGTTAGGGTGAGGAAAAAAAACCTTAATAATTTAAAATTTACCACCTCAAGGAGGCTGGTAGGGTGTGTTCGCACCCCCTGGTCACTTAGCTGATTTAAGAACAAGTGAATTATCACTGTGGATTTTAAGCTAAGACACGTCAGAGTGGAAGTTCTCTATGTTTGGGGTTTGGCCATGGAATACCTGGAAACTACTCTTGTCAAGCAGCACTTATCAAGCTTTGAAAATCATACACTCCTAACTCCTAAAATTAGTTCTCAAAAGATGGACTCCTTGACAACCTCTGGGGAGGACACCTGGCAGTCAAATAGAGCACTAAAATTGGAACTGATGCAGCAGAGTTCAAATTGAGCTGCGTGACTTGAGACTAACTACTCAAGCCTCCTAAAGTTCATTTCCCAACACCTAAAACAGACACTACTGTCATCCTCGTGTTCTTGTGAAGATGCCTAAGATAACGTGTAGAGAACACCCAGCAGAGGGGCCGGCAACTTCCCTGATGACCTATTTGCTGGGAGGAACACAAAATGCAGTAAGTGGGACTTGAGGAACGGACAAGCGTTGATAAGGCAGCAGTCATACCGACAGACGATGCACAGCTGAGTCAGAGAAATGTCTCGAAGTGGCATAATGCACGGTGCTGTAAGAGCAGAGAGGAGCACAGCTAACGTGGGTGGGGAGAGCATGGAAAGGCTTCCTGGAAGAAGGCCTTGAGTCAGTATTTTGAGAATGGGTGAGAGGCAGTTAGAGAGAGCTTGGGTAGATCCACCCAAGCCAGACATACAAACGAAGGACTCCACGAGAATGTGTAGGGCCGATTATGCCCGGACTGGTCTTTCTGGAAACCTTTCTGCACATGGAAACAACCAAACAAAAGGCTTTTGGAAAACAGTACCGGGTCTTAGACGCTGGGCTAAGGAACTGGGCTTTATCGCAGATAACGGAAAGCCAGTGAAGGTTTTGAGCAGGAAAGGAACACAGCCAAATAACAGTGTCCAGAAAACTTGCAAGTATACAGCGTTCACTCTAGTGTTATGAGCCATGCTGCTGTGAAAAAAAAAAAAACTCTTTCATGATACTAATACTTGGTAAATCACTGAAGACCTACTTCAGAACTCCAAGGAAAACATTTTATGAATCAAAAGCTAAGTACAATATGTTAGCAATTAAATGAGATAACATAACAGTCGAGGCAGAACACAGTTTTCTCCACCACGATTTCAAGCTGCTGCAGAAAGAAATGCTTCTATCATCTTCCAAGTGATCAAGCCATTTTGTTTTGATTTTTGGGAGGCGGGAGAGAGGAGACGAGAGGAGCAGGGAGGTCAAGAGGATGCAAAGCTGTCTCTTCTTTAATCAGAAGGAATTGTTAAGGAGAGTCAGAAAGGAGCTTTGCTCAAAACAAAGCTGGGCCTGGGATGCGTCTCGAGTTAGCACAACTCGCTTCCATTCCAGAACAACAAACGAAGGTGTGTAGTTGGGAATGAGATGCTCACAGTGCTCTCTGTCCAAGTTTCCTGTGCATACCTCCCACGGCTACTTTATTTACAGCAGCTGGCCAACGTTTTATAGCCTGTTTTCTGTATTACAAAATTCAAATGTGGAAAACATTACCAGGATCCTCCTTGAATTTTTTGTTGTGGGGGGGGGCTTTTTTCCTCCCCCTTAATTTCCTTTTTATTGTGGAATGTCTCAAATGGTCAAAGGCTAACTTAAGACTGACTACACTCAAGAACTATTTCCTTTGTTCTTATGTTTTTGTTTTAAAATTCATACCAGTTTGCACAGGGAAGATATGCCAATTTAATCTCTTCCACACACATTAGTGTTTCAGGCGGAGAAGCTCAGTCATGCTGAATGGCTTTCAGGAAGAGAGGAGAAAGACTGAAAACCCCACTTAGTTCAAAGGGCAGCAAGTTGTTGACACGCCCCCTGTGATCTGGTTAGCTCTGCAGTTGTCCTTGATTGAATATTAAATGTCTTCAGAGGAGAGACAGGAAGTTTTCCTCATCAGCAAAATGGGAGGCTTTGTTGCTTCTGTATGGTCCTCCCCCCCCCAAATCAAATCAAAGAGGTTTCTGGGTAATATCGGCTAATTATTTCCCTTTTCCTCCTGTTTTATTTGACCCTCTCCCTTTGCCAGGGTCCAACTTCCCATCTCCAAAAATAATTCTAGTCTTTTCCTCTCATCCCACCTCAGAATCAGACTCAAAAAGGAGGCAGTTGAAAGGTCAAATAGTTCCAAAACGCACCTATGTATAGTTTAATATTTTAAAGAACCACTTAACCTACATCTGGTATTTAAGAAAAACCTTACATAGTTATGGAAAAGATGGTCTCTGAAGCAATGCCCTGGGTGCAAGTTACATCCGCTTAACATATGCAAAATGAACACAGCTACAGAAATTAAACTATTTTTCTCTTGATTGAGAGCAGATATACAGAAATGGTTATAAGCCACAGATCCGGCTTTTAATAAAGCCAGATTTCTTAATTAAAAGCAGTATTGTTTAAACACTGTAGTTAAAAAAAGAACTGCACAAACGAAAATCTCGTATTATATGCATCCCAAGCGTATTTAACACATTACCTGAGGCCAAGCTAAATTAAAATCTCGACTTTCCTTTTGTAAACTCTTAGCAACTGCCACGAACATACAAACAATTTTTACTCAATGATAAATTTTTAGGGTAGAGTTCAGGAAACAGAAAAAAGCAGAGTTAGCTTTGGCATTCAAAAATATCTTTCCACATTTTAGAAGTGAGTTCATGGCTTCTATTTATAAACCAGTATTTTGGGTTTCAAATTGGTTGCAGGTTTCAATATTACGCCGCACAGGACGATATTCTTAATCTTAGTCTTTTATCAAGATAAACGGAAAAGAGGTCAGAAGAGTACTAAAGGGTGGGGACTAAAAGAACCTTGTAATAATCTGCCTATTTTGCATTTCTTCCGGAACCATCTTTAAATAAGGAATGCTGTAGTGACAATGGAAAATGGACCTTCATCCAAGCAACTTTTAAAGAGCCTATCAGGAAAAACACAGGGCACCGAGCGTTCAGCGACCAGACAGGAGTTTGTAAGGGACAGAATTATACAGAATCACTGGTAAAGTTAAACTCTCCTCCTATCTGGTTAGCTCATTCATTGTCATCATTTAATATTCTGTCAAGACAATTCTCTGACTCTTTGTAATCTTCCCCTCAATTCTCTCTAAAATCCTTTCAGAAGTACCAGGGGGAATGAATCCCCCCAAACCCGGAATTTATTCATAAAAAATTGTGTATTTATTCTTACATGTGTAAACTTCAGTCACCTTCAAAGTATTCTCTGTTGGATGCAATACACCCATCAAGACGCTTTCTCCACTGCTCAAAACAGTTTTTGAACTTGTCAATATTGAGGCCTTTTAGTGCTTCTGCTGTTACTGTTTCACCTCTTCCACATCAGCAAAATGTTTCCCTTTGGGGACTTTTTTCATCGGGGAAACAAAAAAAGTCGCTCAGGGTGAGAGCAGGTGAACAGGGAGGGTAGGGCACAGGAGTCATGTTGTTTCTGGTCAAAAACTGCTGACCACTCAGCGCGGTGTGAGTAGGCGTACTTGTAAATGACCCATCAGGAAACCAGCAAATGCGTTGAAAGAATCTCCAAAAAAATAAAATAAAATTTGACTGAAGCTGAACGCAGCCTCTCACAACAACACTAGCTGGCACACTGATGCTGAAGGGTTCCTAGAACACTCACCTAGTGGGGGAAGCCTGCATTTCAAGGGGTTTGCCCTCCAAAAAATAAATCCATTTTTTTGAGTCCCCTTCATAATGGGCAAAATTAAAATCCCAGGTATAATATGGACAAATGTGCTGAAGTATTATTCAAATAAAGACATATTCATAAATAGGTAGTGATAAAGCTACTCTATATGTTAAATTACAGTCTTCCGCCATGTATTTATTTACTCAAACAAATACGCCATATATTTCTATCTTCCATACTCAGAATTGAAAGACATTTTGGCTTCTAAATAAAAAAATACAGCCCACCCATACTTGAAATGCCAGCAATGTAACATGAACTTCAGTTGTGCCCTTTAGCCAATGTCACCAAGATGAATAATTTCAAACACCAGCAATGACCCAGAAATTTCTTCCTACATGAAAATGTGTCGACACAAAAACGTATACGTGAATGTTTACACTGGAGAGGACACAATCCAAGTGTCCGTCATCTGACGAACAGATACATTTAATATAGTATACCCATATGATGAAATCACATTTGACGACAGAAAGGAAGTCCTAAAATGTGGCAAAACGTGGATAAACACTGAAAAGATTATGCGAAGTGAAAGAAGCCAGTGAGAAAAACCATAATATATTGTATCATTTCAATTATCATTAAATATCCAGAGTAGGTAAATCCACAGAGATAGAACACAGATTAGTGGCTGCGAGGGGACTGGGGGATGGGGAATGATGCTTAATGGGTACAGGGTTGTTTTTCTTTTTGCAAGGGGCAAAAATGTTCTCAAACTGGTGGTATTGTTTGCAAAACCCAGAGAATACACTAAACCACACTGCACTGTACGCTTTAAATGGGCACATTGTAGACCAAGTGAATCATATCTCAATACGGCTGTTTTTGTGAAGAGAAAAACAAAACAAACCAGCAGGACTATTTATACCTGAAATTCTAGTTCTACGCAGAAGGAGAGAGTCCGCAAGAGTCACGACTTACCATGAGTGAATGTCTGTTGGCCGAAAGAAGACCAGTTCCATACCCTGAGCCCAGACCGCCCATGGCTCCGTTGTGAGAAGGTCCGATGATCCCATGCATATCCCCGTGACCACCGGGCATAGCTGGGGATGGGCCCACGGCATGATTCCGGAGAACATGAATGGCATCGTCCAGTCTTTCCAAGCGATCTTCAATCCGGCTTTGCTGTTGGTTAACAGATGATGCGAAATTCGATTTAGTTCAGAAGGTGTGCCTAAATTATATATCCGACTTGAGTTGACCAAAACCACACTTTGGGTATCTAAATACATGCTTGCAATACAGTATATATCCCTAAAACAATAATATAAATAAATACTGCTGTTCTCAGAAAACTGGTGGAAAATGTTAATGTTAAAACGATCGTGTTATTTTTCATGGACAAACTAAATTCAAGAAGTCTTCTGGGATGCTGAAACGTACACATGCTATACTGTATTGCATTAGCTTGAAAGAGAATTCAGATTTACTTTAGAGAACAAAAAACATTCACTGAACTTAAGGAACACTCTGGCAGGCATTCGGTTAAAAAGTTTAAATAATTAACACTGGAAAGATGACCTATTTATAGTTTCCCAGCTAAATTATCTTCTTGAAGGTTTATTTCTTTGGTCTCCCCCGTGGTATATAAACACAGTGTGCTAAGGATAAAGTCAGAGACAGTTATAAGCATATAGATGATCCCGTCCTGTTGAATTTTTGCCTGTGTTTCTTGCTTTTTATCTATCCTCAATACTAGTTTGTGTGAGCTTATGTGGGTGCATGAGGGCCTCAAAAGAAAAAAAAATTACAAAAATCCTGTCAACTGAAGTGGCATGAGAATTCACGACTGAAAAAATCACAAAGACTTAAATTAATTGCTCACTGGGGGTTTCTAGTTGATTTCAAAGCCCCTACTATAGTATAGAATTCACTACCTTATATCATTAAAATGTCACCCTTATCATGAGGATCCTAGTTTTCTGCATCTGGACAAGGCCTATACTACCATTTTCAGTGAAGAAAAAGGACATGTAGCGAGGTATTCACTTTTATAACTGTGGTCAAACAATGTTATCAAACACCACTTTCTAGTGTGCCCTTTAAAATATACCATCTCTTTGGATCCTCATCCACAAGTGTATGGATAGGAAGGTAAGACATGGACCCTTCCATATAGATGTGAAAATGAGGCTCTAAGAAATTAAGTGGATTCATTACTTAGTGTCACACTGCCAGACAATGGTTAAGTCAGGGTTGGAATCTAGGTCTTCTGATCTTTATAATAGATCATGATACAATCTACTGTGATGTCTAATGGGCTGTGCAAACAGATGTACCAGCTTTACTGCATGAGAAAAACAATTTCTAATTATTCTACACCAACAGGAAGAATGTGTGTCTAATATAGTTAGTCTATGGTACAGAGCATTTTGATTTGGTGGGTCTGAGAGTTAAATGACCCCCCCCAGACTGCTAGATCTGCTACTTACTTGACCTCAAGAAAGTTACTAAACCTTTTTTTGCATGCATGCTTTTTAACTTATAAAAGTGGGGACAATAAGTGTAAACGTAAGAAGGAACAGAAATCTTATATGTGACTATCATGGTTTTCAGTGAGCAGCTTCCTGGTGGAAAGAAGTTTCTGCCGGCGAATGCCCTCTTGAGTGTTCAGAATTCAAAGAGAATTGACGCTGCACCCCACACCTACAAAACTAGTCTTTACTGTTCTTGCAGTTGGACAAAGCCTGGTTTTGATGGATGAACCCCAGAGAACGAGCAATAGAGGTCAACACTAACACAACTCTGGGTCATTAAGAGGTGGTCTGTGAATCAATTGGGCTGTATATAGATGATGTGTCACCCTGTGTGGTGGCCTGTGTGGTAGACGGTTCACACATTACAGCAAGGAAGAGCACAACAAAAGGGGAAAAGCCACCTCTGTATTTTCAATTTTAGATTTTCCTTAAATTAAAGAGTAAGCTAAAAGGGGAGAAAGTAAACCCTAAGCCACCGACAACATTAAGTCAGACAGATGAAGCTATGCCTTCCTCCATGCTTCAGCTCAAAATATAGAGAAAAAAAGAAAACCTCAACCTGGAGGGACTGAAAAGCTCCTCCCACTCACTGCTGTCCCTCCCCCACTTGATTCAAGTGCAGACTAAATACTGCACAAGCCAGTGTCATCTCATGCGTATTTCTAGCCCCATCCACCACGAGCAGAGAAAGCCTAATGTGCGAGACACTGAATCATCATGTGAGTATTTATAATATTAAGTATGCCCATGGACGTGTTCAACTATTCCCTCCTGGAAGAGCGGGGACGCCTTTCCCACAAATGACATTACTGGGTTTCCATGAGCATCAAATTGAATGAAGAAATAAAGAGACTGAGAAGAAAGCTCCCATAACCCTGTTATTCTGGAGAGCAAAGCAAGGTATACAGAATCAAATGTCCCAGCTATGTGGCTTGGCGGGAGAGCCAGAGCCCTGGTATCAGGAAAGTTATTTCATCAGGGCTCTTTCCCAAAGTTGTGGAGGAGGCCATTATCCTTCCAGGAGGTTTAATCTCTTATCTGGCCATAGATATTCAGAGCCTTAAGGCTTCCACTCAGTCGTATCTGGGTTACCATCTCCAGACAGGAACAAGCATAGCCTGGCCATGCAGGCTCCAATCTATCTTGTGTGCTTCACGTTGACCTAATGTTAACAACTGGTGAAAAGACGGATCTTGGAGAGAGCAGTGGACTTAGAAAGAAAAACATAACTTGAAAAATGGGTAGAACCAAGACGAGCAGATGAGACGTACCAAAGAGTGTAGGGGTCCTTCGTAATTAGGAGATGATGAGGCCTGCCCTCCATTTCTAGACCAAACAGCTGTGCCTGCTAACATGCAAAGGGAATGACAATTAGCTTGATATAAACCTAAAATTCAACTTACCAGTATTTTATTTAAATAGTCCTTCTAGAAAGAGCAATGCCAGTTTTCATTTAAAAAATGAGGTAAATACATGTAACCCCCCCATACAAGAATATTTGGACAAGGAAAACATTTTAAATATAAAATATGTAGACTTTACATACACTCACAATTCCCTCAGGCTGCCTCCCAAAAGGGGGCGTTTAATTGATTCTGAATTTTGGCTAGAAGGGTTCCTGTTAAAGAAAAACTTATCACTATGGAGTCAAGGTCTTTCTAAGAGTACAAAGGAGGGGTTTTGTTGACCTTGACGCCCGTTACATTAAAGCCAAATTCTCTCGCCATTGGAAAACAGCTTTAAAACTTGTTTTTAAAATGACCTTTAAGAAGAGATAATCCTTCTGAATTAAAATCTCAGCATAACAGTAATAACTAGGTATTTTCTTCTGAAGAAAATACTTTATGAGTCATTAAACTTAAAGGTTAAAAAAGATTCCTGTTAGAATGCGTGTTACATACCTAACCAAAAAAACACACACAAACTTTAAAACTTAAAATAATACACTTTCAGTCTAGAAAACTTAGAAAATACATCATTCAAACAAGGAAAAAATAATAGCCATGATCTCACTGAAATCCCATGCCCTGACACTGTTAGTACTTTTAAAATCCATTCTTCCTGCCTTTTCTGGGTGTGCATGTATATTTTTATGCTAAATAAAAATAGAGTATTTTGTTCAATTACTTTTCTTGACAGAATTTGGACAGAGCCGTCGGTGTGAAAATAGCAATCTGTCCCCATATTTGCATCTTCATAAAAGTCCTTTCTTCCTAACATGCGGTCTTCCATGATGCATTACTGGGACCCAAAAATTGGCATCTCTAGCCTTGTTTCTGTGTCTTCCACCTAGAGCACACCACTCAGCTTCAGGGTACTTGTGGTGTTTTCCTGGATGACTGCATCCTAACTTTTCTCTGCCACCATGAACCTAGAAGTGGACTGGCAGAAAGAGGAAAACTAGCTTCTCGTCCACACTCTGATAGTACTGCCTGTGTCACCTCGGCAAATCACATTCCCCTCCTGGGTCTCAGTATACTCATCCGTAAAGACAGAGCATCAGACTATGTTAGCTGGTCTCAACCATTACTAGACTACGGAACATTTTTATTTTCCTAAAGTAGAAAACAGATGAAATAAAAGCTGCTTTGTTTGATCTGGTCTGAACCAGAAGAGTTCAACAAAACTGAACTCTACTTTCCGTTTCTACCACGGGAATGTCACATTAGCTTAAAACCATTTCACCTTCTTCCCAATTTCAACCTGATCTCTCTGGATGTGGACTTTAGGGTTCAACTACTCCCTTCTCTATTCTGTGGTTCCCCCATGTCAAGGAGGCTTGGGAAAGGCTGGTATGAAACCCCATCTCAGCCGTGGCCATCATTTCTTAAAGTGTTGTGGTAATCTGAAATCTCCCATTCTCTACCACAGAACCCAGTTTATACTGGGTCATGTGAACATGCAGGGAATAATACCGGGTTCGAGGAGGTCAAATTTAGGCAAGTGACTCCACTAGAAATTACAGTAAGGTCAGGCTTCGGTCAGGTACAGATGTGATTTAGGCTTTTTATTTTTATTTTTTTTAGAGGTCGCATGTCCTCTTTCCAAAGAGCAGAGACATGTACCAGGCAAGGCTTTCTGGAAACGTTTATACTCAAAGGGCAACGAGTCTCTTAAATGGACCTCTGAAAAATTAAACTGTTTACTGACACTAACTCTGCAACTTTATTACTAGTATTCGATTTGAAGTCACAGGTCATGTTACTGTGTTATAGTTTCAAGTTATGCTCCACACAATTACTTCACAATTTATTTAGAAAATTATAGTTTTCCCCCAAATACTTCAACAGCATACACTTTAATTAATTAATTTATTTATTTTTGTGTCAGGGGTCTTGCTCTGTTGCCCAGGCTGGAGTACAGTAGCACAGTCATGGCTCACTGCAGCCTCCAACTCCTGAGATCCTTCTATATCAGCCTCCCAAGTAGCTGGGTCTATTGGAGTGCACTACCCACACTCAGCTCATTTTTCAAAAGATGTTTTGTAGAGATGAGGTCTTGCTATGTTGCCCAGGATGGTCTCGAACTCCTGGGCTCAAGCGATCCTCCTTCCTCCATTTCCTAAAGAGCTGGGATTACAGGTGTGAGCCAATACACCAAGCCCGCACAATACTTTAAAGAAGCAATTCAGAAAGTCTAAAATTTCTGCAAGAAATGATCCATTTAAACAGTCTGTTTCTGATGACTAACAGAGTCTCTATTCATATTCACAACTATGTTAACTGAGTTTTTCACCTGAGACACTTTATTGGAATATATTATTCTACTTTTGGGTGTCTTATGCAGAACTGAGAAAAGTTTTACGAAATGCATTTCCCATAGGCCTGTGTATCCCAAAGTCATCATCTAAATGACTGTTCTATTATCTGGTGATCTGCTCCTCTCCCATTCCTTTTCTACTCATCTATATGGGAATGTCAGGTTTTTGGATTTTGCGGGGGGTCTCCACCTACTAGAGCGGAAAACATAAGGGAGAAATCACTCTTATAAGCTGGTGCTATGATGCAATGGGATTTGAAATACACTACCTGAGAGAGACGGAGGGGAGCCAACAGGAGTTGAAGGGTTGGATGAGAAGCTGTTGTTAGTGTGATCTGGAGAATAGATCTTGAAACAGTGGGGAGGGGGAGAAAAAAACACCTCATTCATTTGGAATCAACAACGAACAATTTTTTTAAACCACAAAGTTGTCGGCATAATTCATTTAAGACTCACGAGTTCCAAAATACAAGTAATGATTAACTATAGGACCGATAATCTGCACTAAAAAACCCAACAATACTTTCATTTTTCAAAAAAAATAAAAAGAAGGAAAGGAATGATTGACGTGATATGGGATGATGAGAAAAGAACCAGGCTGGGGTCAGCAGATGTCAATCCTACTGTTTTCCTCACTGGTTTTGGCTATGGGCAAGCCAGGTAGATATTCTGGACTTCTCTTTCCTCAACTACAAAATGAGAGGTTGGGCAGTATTATTTCTAAGATGTTTCCCAACTCCTTTACTATGATTGAGGCATTTAATTCCACAGCACGAGAAGGCCCACATTAAATAAAGCACTTTACCTGGGGCACTACACTAAGATAGGGCCACGTTTTCTTAAATGCTCCCAGGCATTTAAGGCAAAACCAGCAGAAGAGACAAAATCTTAGAGAAACAAAAGCCCACTTACATTTGTAAGTGACCACGTTTAGCTTTTGAAGAAGATACTGGATATACTCCCTGAGACAATTAAGGCATAGGCCATTTTGTCACCGGGGAACATGCAAGAAAGATTCAATTCTAGCTTCCTGGCGGCGGGCGGGCAAAACAGAGAAGCTGAGTCCTTGAGGTGACAATTAAGTGACAATTCCTCATGGACCCCAGTTATTGTCAATCTTCTCCCCCAAACTCCTTTTCCCAAGTGTTTTAGGACAGGCCCTTGCAAAGCCAGTCTTCGTTGGTCAATTGAGCACCCACAGTGCTGGAGAGAAAAATACGACATCAGGATAGAAAATCTATGAAACTAAAGGCCAGAAGACTATCTCAACACCCACAGTGGGTTGTGGCTTAGTACCCCGGTGACAGGATGAGATGGCAGGGATCATCCATCTACTGGAAGCGTCAGAGCTTTCTTCTCCAATTCTCTAGTGATCATGATGCAAGAAAGCTAGCATGCACCCAAGAAAGCAAAGCTATTTGCCATTCATTTTCTAAAATTCCAAATGTCCACTTCTGATTAAAGTTCACCCTTCTCCGGCGGTACATGTGGCGTCCAAAGTCAATATTTCCTCACCGAAGCAAGGGCTTTCCCCAGAGCATCTCCAGTCTGGGAGCTGCCTGCTGCTCCGCTTCCTCTATTTGCTGCAAAAACAAAAGACAGAATATGAAAACCAGGCAGCGAGACGTCTAACAATCTTCTATTCCTGGTCCATTTACTCACAATTTAATTGCATTTTTAATGCTAATTACAACACATTAATCTTTAATTAGCATTAATTTGTTTGCTGAGGTAGATGTCAAATATATTCATGTTACATTTTTTTTACAGATAAAATACAAACCTGACACCTTGGTTTAAAGATAAAGTGTCCGGCTGCTTTATGGGGACGGACCTCCCTTGCTGCATCTGAGTGGTTTAGCGGTGGACGGCAGCCAGTGGGCATGGGACGGTCATTGCTAAGAGGTATGTGGCACTTCCAGGTTCCTGGAGTCCTCAGAGTTCACTGTTTCCTTACATATATTATTTATAGCAAATTGAATTATCTTCATATATAACTTCCACCTGCTATCAAATACTCAAAAATTTGATACTTAGCAAAATGAGTGTTTCTTTCAAAGTTCCTCAGGAAACAAGACAAAAAGTCTACAAAAGGTCTGGCTAACTAGGCGATACAATACTTTTAATGTTTTCAGGAACATGTAGCCTCTACACATCCAAGTCTGTGTTCACATTCACACAAAAGTTTGAACTGTGATGCTACTGAAAGTCAATATGGTCTCAAATTCCAGAGGGAAAATAAGTCTACATATTCATGAAGCTTATCTCTACCATAGTAAAATACTGGTATTTTTTTAATCTATAAAAGAAATTAAAAAGAGTGCTGCTGGCTGGGCTCGGTGGCTCGGTCTGTCATCCCAGCACTTTTGGGAGGCCGAGGCGAGTGGACTGCCCAAGCCCGTGGGTTCAAGACCCGCCCGGATGACTTGGCGAGACCCTGTCTCTAAAATAAATAAAAAATTAGCCGGGTGTGGTGGAGTGCGCCTGTAGTTCCGGCTACTCGGAAGGCTGAGGTGGAAGGATCACTGGAGCCCAGCAGGTTGAGGCTGCGGTGGCCGGGAGCGTGCCACTGCACTCCAGTCTGGGCGACAGAGTGAGACTCCAACTCAAAAGAAAAAAAAGTGTTGCTGATAATAAAAGGCATATTTTCTAGGATACACCTCAAAGCTAGCTCTGTGTAGCACGTATCATTTGGATGGATCTTGCCTTTGAAACTAAGTGGTCAAATGGGACCTCCAGGAGTCTTCGGAGGCTTAGAACTTGGAGGTAGGCTGTGTTTGTTAAGGCCTCAACACCAGCAAACAGCCACAGTACTTAAATAAAACCTACCAAGTTCCAGGGGAGGATGTTTTCCACTATTTTGTGAAATAAGAAAAGGAACGCTGCAATCAACTGATGAATCTAAGCAAAATTTCATTGCACGCTTATACAATTTAAACAATTTTCCAGCCCTTTCTGGAACGAGGAGAGCCTTCTTTCTGGCAAATGTGGCGTCATCATCCTCCAGACCCGAGAAGCGGAGTGGTGGCATCAGACCTCCCGTGGTCTGTAGTCTAGTTCTCTACTTCTCTCGATCCTGATTTCACTCTCTTGACCTCTGCTTAGCAGTTAAATTACACCTGTTATTTTCATATACTTGTATGTTGGGCATGTCAGTTAGAGAATCTTTAGACGTATGTTTTCTTTGGTTCACAAAACCCCCACACACATTCATTTGTGAATTACTAAAATACCGAAAGAAAACTAGTATATGATAACAAGAACACAATTACCTGGTTACAAATAAAAAACTTCTTTTGCATATCACAAACTTCTATGAAAAATTCATGAGTTTTAGTACTTAAGATTTTATGTCCTATATAAGCAAATTCTTTGAAATGAGGATCTAATGTCATGCGATTGGATTAGTAGAAGCAACTCAGATACAAAGAGTATTAAAAATATTTAACATGAGATAGAATACAACAACAAATTATATCAAGTGTGAAAGTGAGAAGAATTTCCGCATTAAGGAGTTCTTTAAAACCTAAAAACAACTCTAAAGATAAGATAATAAAGATGTGAAAACCCAAACAACACTAACATTTTCTTAGCATGCACTGTCATAGTTTTTGGAGGGCATTTATCTTTTTTTTCCCTAAAAGCAATGTTTCTTTGCATTATTATATACCTAAAAATTAGATGTAACAGTCAAAATAGTTTGTGGTATTTGCTTGATTTGAATACAGATTTTTCACAAAATCAAAGTTCAGAGTCACACTAGGGGAAAAAAAAATCGTATTATCTAACAAAGAACCTAAACCAAAAAAAGAATAAGATATTGTTTCAATTACAGATAAAACTTTCTACAGTGGTAGCTTTCAGAAGATTAATTCTTCCTCTGCACAACTTTAACATGAAGATTATAAATTAAAAAAAAAAAAAAAAAGTTTCATGAAACCAAACAGAAAGTATTGAGAACAAATAAAAATCTTTTAGGAACATTTAAAAACTATTATAAATCTCCCAAAACCACACTTTAGAAGAGGCAATGTGACCACCCTGACTTCTGCAGTGCGACACACCTTTCTCACTAAACTTGCTATCAGTGCCAGCTTTATCCAGGGAGATATTAAGATGCAGGAAGCAGAATTAAAATAGAATCAACTCCTTACCTCATCTTGTCGTGAAAATGCTTCAGAAAACTACAAAGGCTACTCATGGAAGCCACTGATAAGAACAGACTATTTTTTACCATGAAGCCACTTTACCTTGCAACAGCTGGAGAGCCAAGCCCAGGGCTTAAATTTCAAAGCAGTTTACTGGGGCCACTGCGCCCTTTTACTTGGAATGCCTTTTGTTCTTGTCCAGGAAACACTGCAGAAGATCCATTTTCAAGATTCCCTGAACATGTGAAGCTACACGGGTCCTTCCCTCAAAGATTTCTCTTTTAATTTGTGTGACTGATGTATCAAAGAGCACAATCAGAAAGTAAATATATTTTAATTCTCAAATGGCATTTTTGTGTGTGTCGTATCTAGCAAGACAAAACAAATCCACTTTTGGGGCTTTAATGTAACGGGACTCGATGACTACTTGAGACCCAAGTTTCTGTCAACGCCTATTATTAGAAATGATCAAAATGCCCAAGTGACAGAAATAAAGATGAAAACCACTGCCTTTGCGTGGTAAAGACTACATTGGTTTTTCAAGTTATTTCGTCTCTAATCAATTTCTCTTGCCCAAGAGAAAAAAGGGATCAGTCTCTAGGTAGAGTGGGAACATAAATCAGACCAGGTTAGTAAGAGGAATTATAACTTTGGAGGAGGATTCGACATTCCCTGCCACCCAAGTACTGCTCAGCGAGCTTGACCACAGGTGCTGTTGCTGGCCAGAAGATGAGGCAGAAAGAAGGATTTTGTATCTGGGACTACATGGTGGACCACCCTCTGTTTCAGTCTCAGCTTTGGGGAAATGTGAACTCCCAGAAGAACACACCCTAAGCAAAACACCGGGATGAGTGGTGCCTAGGGATCAACTAGGGAAAAGCAGAGTCTGGAAAACGTGTTAGCCCTCTGTTGCACACCCATCACCTACGGGCTGGAACATCGCGAAGGCATCAAAGGAACAAGAGTGCAAGTCACACTGGGTTTGCCTGAGAGAAGATGACTGCTTCAAGGTGGGTATTTCTGAACTGCATCGAGTGACCTTCATGTTATTAAACAGCATAACAACGCCATGAGCTTGTCTATAGAGATGGCAACAAAGGGAACGTTTCCAGGACTCCTACGATAACCATTTTCGAATAAAAACTCAAACATATGCTACAATGCACTAATTTTTAACAGGAGGGATTCCTAGGAATTCAGCGGGGAAGCTGGGCTTCCTGACCATGTGCAGGAAATGGAGGAGAAGGCTTAAATCAAACTAGTTTATTGTTCTCTGCTGGTGGTCTTTGTAACTAAGATGCCCTGACACCGCTGGATAAAATTCTATGACTCTCATGCTCTGTGTCTGTTCATTACCCAACTGTATTTGAAGGCTTAAGATTCTTGTAAAATACAAAGTGAATATTATGTGACTACTCTAATAATAAAATTACTGTGAAACCAAGTCCTCAAGGGGAAGAGGACAGAACGTTTCAACTAGCAAAGCCACACACTAAAATGCATCGTGTCATACAAACATGTCATTAGGAGTGAAAGTTGTAAGCCAGATTAATTCATGAACCAGATAGATATTCCAGGGTAATCTTAAGCATATGGTGTATTAAATCAATCTTGGGAGTCTGTTCCTTCAACACTGTTTGGTTTGAGGTTTAAAAACATGGGAAATACCATGTATTAGGACATAGGCCAGTTAAAGACTAATGAAACAATAACAGTTGTTATAACCATTATGTGAGTTATATGCCCCATTCCCTCAGAGGGGAAAGGAGGAAGTGTAGCCCCGAGCCATAAGGGGCCATGCCCTGGGAACGTATACAAATGGCGTCTCCCAACGGAGAGCTGTGGCACTCGCACCCTTGGGTGGTCTCAGTGGTTTGTGCTGTGGCAGGAGGTCTTCCCACCCCTCTCGGTCAGGAAGGGCTGCTGGATACCACTGCAGATGGGAAGGAGAGATGTGGACAGCAAAATGGAAGCGGCTACTAGCCTGTAGACATTCTTACTCTCTGCAGCTGGCATCTACTACCTCACTAAACCTCCTCCTTCGTACGCACGCTCAGATACCGAGGCACAGACCTGCACTGCTTTTGAGACACACCCAGCAGCACCACACCGAAGACTTTGAAGAAGGGAGCGGAAGGGAGCTGATGCAGCTTCTTTCCTTAACTGGGTGCTCCACCAGCTGAACTATGGTGAAGCCGTGCTGTGTCCCATATATTTTATCCAAATAATTCTGGGGTGCTTAAGAGACCCCTCCAGTTCAGAAACATCTAACGTGATCCTCAAAGTGTGCTGGGAAGGCCTAAGAAAACAAGTGGGTTCTATGCAGTGAGTAAAATATTTTACTCTACAATTCCCTTGACAATCCACGGCTCAGGGTGTCATGAAAGAAAATCCCTCATTAATATAACCGGAGTGAGCTTTATCCTTCTTAAGGTTTCTCAGAAAAATGATTTTGGACATTCCAGGGCCAAAGAAACCAATACAAGAAACAACGGTCATTCCCCCAAACCAAACAAATAACAAACCTTGGTGAGCATCTTGCATTTCTGAGATGGCAAGAAGGGAAACAAGAGGAACGGGAGTATGGTTACAGAGAAGTTATCTCCCGAGAGTTCTAGAGCTTCTATTTCACCCTGCAGGCATCGTGTTGCTCGAGCATCAGTTCGGGACAACTGCTGACCACCAGGAAGACACAATATAATACGACACTGTGAAATAGGGCCGCAGTCTTCCTCTGGACTGAAAAGGCAGCTTCCTAAGACATCAACGCCATGTATGAAAAGACTGCCCTGCCTCGCAACTTTTCACCAAGAAAACTTGAAAAATGTGATGTCCATGTGTTAGTGCTTGAATCCCATTCTTATGTCATTAGTATTGCTTACAGTCATTTTCTACAGAATCATGTGTGTAATCTCAAACATGTGTCAGGCGATGTGTTCCTTATTTACCAATTATTTAATTAGCTCTGTTTGTTCTTTGAGATACAGGCAACGTAATATTTCTTTATTTCCTGCATTTCAAAATGAGTGAGTGTATGCCAAATACTTTCAAAAGTCTACAGATGTGTCCCATTAATCCATATGGTTTGGTAGGGAAGTAACACTAACATCAGAAGAGAAAGCTTCTCTTCTTGTTATATAGACATGCGGCCATTCCTGATTTCGACCACACTCAGAAAACCAAATTGAAGCCTCAGAGAATTAAAGTGCAAAGGAATATGAGCCACTAGGATATGCAGCAAAACCAAAGTTTGCTACCATGCTTCAATATTCCCATGTATTTTCACTTAAGCAACTGGTGGGCATGGTATTTTAAAGGATAACATTCTAGATCATTCTTCTTTAAAGGAACCTTAAGGTAGTATCTGTATTCTTGCAAAATAATCAAGGTCTGCTCCTCCACACAACTGAATTACCATGTCTACTTACATCCTGAAAGATGATGAAGCCTTTTCTCATTCAGCTGGTGGATTCTGACAAGTACACTCATTATTGTGAAATAATTTATGTCATGCGTTTCCTAAAAAGCCCTTTTCTGGGTTCCAGAAATCCCATACTTTTCTGTTTTTAAATGATAGCTCCTTTATTGTCACCTAACCCCTTAAACAGGGCGCGGTGCTCTATAAGAAGTGAAATCTGTTGCTAGTGGGCAGCTGAGCCCTTGGGGTGCTGAAATCCCCCATTGTTCCACTCTGCCAGGACCAAATGAGTAGCTTCTCCTGCCCATCCACAAGCTAATAATGACATGACCAGCAATTCAAACAAATCTCACTCCTGAAAAGACATGTGGCTACACTGCCCACCGCTCATGGGGGCTGGCTGCCGTATCTCCTGACATCTTCTTTCCAAGCCATAGTCTCTCTCTCCCAAGAAGGCTTTTTTTGCAAATCAGTCCACATGGCCATTTTTCGAACCGTGCCTCAGTATGCTGTCCTCAACCCAAGGGTTTGCTCCACCTTCAGACCTTCCTAAAAAAGAAAATGACTCAAACCACAAGCAGACGGGAAATCTGCCATGTAAGAGGATGACCGACCGGTCATCCTCCTTCATAACCAGGCCTTATGACTGCAGAGAGGGGCTTTCCATTTGCCAAACCACACTGAGGCGAAATATGCTTTTCTCACTCTTTCGGTTCTGCACTGCTTGCTTTCTTCTTGTTTTTCAAGTCTGCCAAAACTGCACTGATAGCTAACAAAACTTCCCCGTGTGACCTCTGTTCGTAGCTCTCCAAGGTCAAACTGATGCAACACATTTGTAGAAGCTTCATTAGGAAACGTTACAAAAATGGAAACTCTTCTCTCAATTTGCTTCTCAGTGAGACATGACAGTGGAGGGGCTGTGAGATGGCTCATCTCAAGTGTGAAATACATTATTGACTAAGCAGGGAGGGCAATATTGAGGCAGGAATTATATTTGCAACATTTCGAAACATATCCTTTCTCCATCAAAAACGCTCCCACATAAGAGATTCACACTTCTTCCCAAAGTTCTATAGACTCTGAAGAGAAAGAAAACACTGCAAAGAGCTAAGAGGAATAAACAGTGGCATTATTGTGTCATGTGGTCTTCTCACGAAGGCATACACTGAGGCTTGTCTTCTCTGGGAGATGCTCAGGCCAAGCAAGGTGTGGCTATGAGCTAGAACCAGAGTAAGTGAAGACCAGTGAAGTCAGGTTTGAATAAGACTCTGGCACTCTAAGCTGTGCTGCTCGTGAATGTCAAGCTGTCAAGGTAGATTTCAGAATGGGGCAGCTGCCTTCCCGTCAAGCCGGACTCTTCCCTCCAGGGGCAGCTGGACAACCTGGCCAGCTCTTTCCTAAAGGGGAGAGTGCTGGTGGAGGAACCATCCGTCCTAAGGAGAGGACCACAACGGACATCATGAAAACTGAGAGGATGACGGCTCAGTTCATGGCAGCAGCATTCTTTTTGGGTCTTAACTTGCTAGTAAATTTTCTTGGTCCAAGAGCAGCATATGACATCTGGCCACTGATGCCCATGAATCTCCTCGCATAAGTAAGCAAATACTTCTTCCCTTCTCTGAGAACTCCACAGTGCCATCTTTTCCAGAAGGTTATGCTCATCTGGTTATTAACAGTCACCTGAGAACTTCACGTAAACTGGTCTTCGGAAGACAGCGACACATCATGGCTAAGAGCTTAGCACAACAACTAAGCTCTTAGCTGGGATATGGGAAGTGGTCAACACGAGTGTGAAGAGCTATTATGCTTCCACCTCACCAGTCCCCAGTGCTTGTCTAATGAAAAGTTTACCTTGCTTACATTCTGAGGGGCAAGGTAGTTTTGGTCTATTTAAATCCTTGCTCAATCTAATGACTTAAAATGGACAAAGTAACCACATTTCAGTTTCTTGCAACAAAAAAGCGGTGAAGCCGGCGGTTATCTCTGTTTGGTTCACTGATGTGTTCATTCAGTCATGTGACAAATATATAATGCCTGCTTGCTATCCGGTTATGGGGTGGGGAAGACGGTCTTCATGATCAAACGCTGACACTGACTGCTAGCATCAGAATTGGCATTTCTGAGACTCACCCATTATACTGTCTGTCCCGTTGGCAGGAGGCGTACAGGAAGAGGTGCTGTAATGGTTTGTACCACTACGATGGAAAGTGGACATCGGAGGAAGACTGGAATTGATGTCTGCTGAGGAGTGTGATGGATAGCTCTATAGCAAGAAGCAGAAAAAAAGAGGCCATATTCAATCATAAGGTATTTAAGTGAGTTAGTGTTCAAACACTTTTTTCAAAACTCTCCATCTTGCAAAGGAGACAGCTTTTAGAATTTCCAAACAGCCCAAGAATGCATTTTGTTTATATCTAATAGCTTCTACTTTTCAAACAATAGATATATAGTTGGGTTGGGTTTGCATTAAGCGTGGAGGAATATCCTGGCCACACAGGACATTTAGATCTCTAAATCTATAAATCACTGCTTAAAATCATCTCTGAGATTTCAGCAATTTAAAGACTATCAGTAATATTATTTTTTCCTATAGCCTATGGATCAAGTGAAAAAAACTCTGACACATAGGTATAAAACGACATTACGAACCACAGGGTTTTCATCACACTTCATTCTGACCTTCTGGACACTAAATGACAGAACAGCCAGTCTCAAATCTTCCTGCCAAATTGGATTATCTTTCTGAACGCTAGCATCAAGAAATGGTAAATGAGAAATTTAAAAAGCACTAATGACTAAATATCTCTCTAATGCATCAATACATAAAGCCTTACATCAGTGACGATGCTGAATTAAATTAGAACCAACATGAACTGAGAAGGTCTTATTTTGATTTGAGTCCTTTCTTGACATGCCCTCCCAATTAGCAGGCCACTAAAAACTGACTACGAAAGAACAACACCTTTACAGAATCGCTTGGTAAGAGACTTGGCTTTGAGTTCAATTATGTCAGTTGTCCAAAGAAGCTACATTTTGGGGGGGCGTATCACAGTGCCAGTAATGTGGCCAATTAGTCAGTATCCCCTAGTCTGCCTGGGAATGAACAGATCACTAAAAGGGAAAACAGTCATTTACAAAGATATATCAAGCGATCTTCAAGATAAAAAGTAGTCTCAAAAGTTGTTTTTATAGGCATCTGAATGTGTTGTAGATTATATAAAGAAAAGATATTTAAGCTAAAATATCCTTTTTCTTCACTGTAATACATTAATGGGCTATGGATCTTTATTATATCATTACTGGAGATGCTGTTCAGATTGTTTAATTTAAAATTAGAGATTGAAGATGATGCTGGTCACAGGTCCCTAAAGTCTAAGCATGTGCTCAAAGGAGTGAACCTGTAGTCTCTCAGGTTTTGTCCCAATGTTTTGGTGAGACCCATCTTGAATTCTGACTCTATTTTGAAAATTCCTTTACAACTTATGCCTCTTCCAAGATCTCTTCTCTTTGGGTTCTAATGCATGCAGATTTTGCAGTGAACCATTTAACACTTTATTATATGCCGTCTTTCATTTCTTGCTCTTTCAAATGTGTCTCCAACTATATTACAAACTCCTTGAGTCCCCTAAAAGAGCACACAGTTTCTGCATCCCACAACTTGTCAGCTGAGTATTGACTACATGACTATATGCTTAATGAACGACTGGTTATCAGTTAGAGTTTAATAAACAGCAAGTGGAAATATGACTTAACTTGAAAAGACAACTGAATAGCCTTGGAAATGAATCTCCATTTCAGAGCTAGGTCTCTCAATGACCCATGGATATCTTTGAAAATATTACCCATGAATGCCTAAAACAGTCCTACTTAAAAGACTTCAGTGAAAAAGTTTAGATGATAACCTCAAACCTTTCCAAGTTCCTGAGGATGCCTTTCAAACTTTTAAGTTTTGTGGCCCTCCTTCCCTGACCAAAAAATTCTTTAGGCCACCTGTTAAACTCATTTCAACTTGTCACGTAAAGAATATTCCAAGTAGTCCATGAACTCTTCTCCAAAGAATAACAGAACGGGCCCATTCCATAGTACAGCTAATCTACATGCCTGGATAAGTTATGAGACACCAAATCTAGAAGACTAAGGATAGAGCTATTTTTCTTCTGGAGTTAAACACTATAATAAAATGAAGACGAAGAAACAGAATGCAGAAAAATAAAATAAAGAGGTGGTTTGATTTCACTTCTGCCCAGTCTTTCTGAAGAAAAGATAAACTACAAATCAGTCCAAAGCATGCGCAAATCAAAAAAGAGGACAAGAATTAAAAAATATTTAAATAACTATAATAATCAGAAGATGAGACAGAATAAAGATAATCGCATCAGTGAGAATTTTTGGACCCTTTTAACTTTATGTAAAATGGGCAGTAATTCGGGATTTGACAAAGGGTTAATACTCAGTTCACAGAATAAAAAGAAAAATTAATCCCCATAGATTTTAATGGGGAAACCAATGCAATCCACATGAATCAGTTATTTTTAAAGACTCATAGAAAATTAGATGCTGAAAGAAATTAATGAGATTTATAACTAGATTATTTTACAATGAAAAGTATCTTGAAAACTACTGTCACTCAGAGACATAATAAATACTCTGAGAATATTAGTACTATGTGAATGCTGTCTCTTTTAGAGGATTTAGGGATCAACTCTAAGAGGTCCTCTTAGTCTCTTATTCCAGCTGTCTGTCCTCCTCGCTACAAAGGAAAAGAAGAATGTGACAAAGTATTATGGCTTTACATGCCCATTGCTTGTTGATTTTTATTTATGATGCCACAGTAGTGTACTTAGAGTCTATTAACAGAGTAACTATTAGAAAATGTTTCCATTAGTGATATTTGTTGTTGACCTCTGGGTTGACAATTTAAGGATTAGAAAAATATAATAATTGGTAGCCCAAGAGTAAGAATAAATTCACGCTTTGGGTAGAGGCAAGGCTTCACGACCTTGGCTTTATTGTTCTTTTGTGCCCAATAATTCTTTGCTATGGCGGCTTTCCTGTGCATGGCAGTATGTTTACCCAGTCTATATATCCTAGCTGCCAGTAGTATCTAACCCCTAGTTGTAACAACAAAAATGTCTTCAGACATTGCCAAGTGTTTCCCAAAGGGTAAAGCTACCCTCGGTTGAGAATTACTGGAGTAAGTAAGGGTTTACGATACAAAAAAAAAAAAAAAAAGACAACAGAACTTCCTTTATACTAAGATTCTAGACTCCTAGAACGGATTTCACTCCATAGTGCAAAGACCACGCCTAGATCATGCCAAACAGCGAGGACTCTCCCATTTTCAAAAAGAACTCTTGCCAAGTCATTCCAAACATAAACCTACAACAACCCATTCCAAAGCTTAACCGCAAACTCCATTCATCTGAGCGATTCTGTGTATCTGTAACATAGTGGTGATTAGCTGAGGGATTCTGTTGCACAGGCTGAAACTGTAGGGGGGATTTAAAGACAAAATTGGTGACTTGACAGTTGCTACTGAAACACGTGGATCTTAAGCTGCATAATTACACATTCTATTATAACATGGCATCAAGTGATGAAGGCATTGATGTTTCTAAAATGTTTTACCTTTAGAGATAATGCCAACGTGGCCAAGTTATACCCAAACTAATCCAGGGAATGCTCTCTTCTTTTTCTTAAATGATCCCTTTGTTCAGTATGGGAATAGTCAAATGCTACAGACTAAATTTTAAGAAACCACCATTATTTTCAAGAGAAAGGACACTGACTGCACATTCAAATTATTCTCAGCGTCAGATTCTTCAAAGTCGCTTCAGTGCAAGATTTTCAGATGGTTAAATACTAAAATGACAATGATAACTTGATATAATAATCCAATCATTTCACTATCAGGGGAAAATTCATCAGTATACATTACCAGAGCGATTATTCATGTCCCCTTTGAAACAAAAATCCTACTCTCTGAAAACTGCCAACTGATCATATGAAAAATGAAAATTCTGTGTTTTGTGATGGATAGATGCCACTATAAATACAGCTTCTGATATAGCCTATTGGGTTACTCCTTCATAATGATCTTTCTCCCTGGTTGGCAACAGAATTTTGGCTTTGCCGAACTTTTCAAAAAGGAATGTCACTGGTTTCCATTTTGAAATTATTGTGCATTGGAGCATGTTTTAAAGATGTGCCCCATGTAGTACATGGACTTGGATAAAATAAGATCACTTAACTCAAAATTCTAGAGTATAACAGGAAAAGAAAGACACAAATATAGGGGGGAAGAAAAATAAACATCAAATGGGCACTCTTAAAAGAACTGAAATTCCAACATGTTAGAGCACCAAAAACTAATTTATCAAAACCTTCTCTGCTCATAGGACATATGTAGTTTTGATCATGAGTTCTTAGAGAAGTGGAAAATGATGGGGGACAAATAAACATGTTAGTGAAAGAAATTCTAGTGTAGTAATAGTTAATAGTTCCAGAAGCTTTCACTCCAACTTCTCTAAGTGGGAGATGGGAGAAGGGGAAATTTGAAAGTAAGTCATCTGCTATTTACTGAAAATGTTCTGAAATTTGAGATAGTTTGTGATTTACACATTCAAACTTGGGAGATGATACAAAAAGGCCAACTCATTTTCACTCTCTGCCTCTCAGGAAAGTACAGGCTAATTAACTACATAGTGTCTCCAGCACTAGGACTAAACATGCATTTTCCAGGTTATCAAAAATCTTAACTTCTGGAATGTTTTTGGTCATCTGAGTAGAATATAAGATACCTTTGCTATCTGCAGTGGCTGATCAAAAGAGAGGAAACAACACAGACATTCAGAATTGCTTCCTTTATCAGAACAGAGAAAGAAACATCAATGTGAATATGAGAAAAAGAAAAGGGACAAATTACAAGATAAAGAGTGGTGATAAAAGAACCACCTAACATTACTGGCTTTGCCATATGCTTTTGCATTTATAGGATCTGAGGTTTACATACATTTTAAGCTATATTATTCATGTACCATCTTATCTACACCCTAAACCTAACTCATGATCTAGGCCGTCTCTTTCATTTAATGGCAAACTTAAATCCGTCAATGGATTCTAGACAGGGGTAGTATTTGAGGTTAGAAAAGTCAGATGAGGGCAACCCTTTCGGGTTCCCTCCCACTGTGGGAACCTTTCTGTCCTCTCAATAAATCTTGTTTTAAAAAAAAAAAGAAAGCAAAGAAAAGTGAGATGAGTTGCTTCTGCTGGATAGAGAGACATGCTAGGATGGACAGAGTAGAAATGATCAGTAATGACAACTTTCTAGAGTCCAGCAGTTTTCACCTGGATTGAGGCAAAACAGACCAAGTGGCAGATTGGGGAAAGAGGAATTAAAGTACTGAAAATCAGGAATCTGATCTAGGTAGACACCCTGTGGTTACTATTACTTTATGGGAGTGTGCAGAAAACATAAACTCTTTCCTTCAGGGATGTCTCAACAACTCAAAGCTGACACAAGCCAGGCAAAGCGAAACGAAAATGCCCACATATGATGCATGCCACCTTCTATCACTCTGCCCTCACTGTAGAGCCTACAGAACTATAGGCAGCAAAAAAAAAAAAAAAAAAAAAAAAAAGGTGAGGAATCACCATAGCTGAAATTCTGCAACCCAAACACAGAGCATATTATGTATTCAAGGAAGCTGACACTGTGATAAAGAAAGCACAGAGCAAAACACAACAAACAAAAGAACAATGACAAAGACTGTTTACAAAGGTGATCTGGTTCTGTTATGTCTTTGATCACAGAAACAATACAACTGCAAGAAAAACGGGCGTGTACCATTTTGGCTTTTATTTTCAGAGTCCTTGTGCACACACACGGGAGGACAGAGGATGAGATTTAACAGATGAGCGGCATTACTCTCAGGACCAAGGAAGTCTGCCTTACCAAACGTTCATGTGGGTGCAGGCTGCAGTAGCTGCTAGACTGTGGAATATGAGAAGAATTGCCCAACATTCCTCCGTAGCCAGGCTGACTCATCCCACTGGAGGAGCTCCAAGGGTCACTGCTGTGATGGCCATCTGTAAAGAACAAAGAAAACCGTGACTCTCCTGAAGCGTTCAGCCTCGTCTTCCAGAGCAGGGTCTTCTCTCACATACGCGGAAATGACTGCCTGCTGTGTATTCAACTTTGTGCTGGTTAGCTGACTACATCAGAAGCCAGTCGTCATTATTTCTTTCCAAGTGGCTCTCCACTGTCAAACAAATATAAACATTTAACCAAGTTAAAGCGTTCTTCGTGAAACTTCAACTGCAAAAGAACAACAGAGTATGTTTCTACATGGAATTATGTCAAGTCAGTAAGGTAATTAACTGCTAAAGGAAACTTTTCTTAGAAGTCTTCTGACTCTCTTTTTTCTATGAAAACCAACTAAAACGTTAAATTGTTCTTAAAATCTGGAGTGAAAATAAGGTACTTGAGACATTACAGAGTTGACAAGTTTTAAAAGCATATAAAGAAATTAGGTAATTAAAAAGAATATCTCAAATTGAAAAGATTGGATTTCATTTTTGGTAACACATAGCGTAGAATTAAAGTTGGAATTACAATGATATTACGATGTGTAGTGGAGTCTCAAATGTATAGTTCTGAAGTTATTTTTTTTTAGGTATTTAGATATATAGCTATCTTAAACCTTCAACCCTCAGTAGCAATTCAAAGAGTACACACATATTATAAGGTGGATATTATGTTACAGACAATTTTAAGAGCCTCTGAGTTTTATAAAACTATGAGTAAAAAACAGGTTTAAAATGATACAGAAGTTATATAAAGTATATTTTAAATATGAAGTTGACCTTTTGTTAACACCACATTAAAAATATCTCTACAGGTTTTTTTCATTCCCTAGGCCTCCCGGCCTAGAGGTTATGATTAGAGGTTATGATTACATTGCTATTGTTTGGTTTTGGTTTCTCAAGACTAGGGGAAAAGATGACCTATATTATCTCTGAATTCATTCATTTTTTTTCTTCCTTCAATAGCTAAAAAAAAATTATTGAGGGCTGGATATACACCAGGCCATCAGCTGGGTGTATAATATATAGCAGACATTGCTTCCTTGAAAATAAGATTATTTTTACCATAATATTTTATTTAATAAAAGACTTCTGAAAACTTAGGCAATAGGAAAGTTAAATCTGACACTGTATTTCTGTTTTCTTTTTTTAAAGCTGGATTTATTGAGAGGACAGAAAAGCTCCCAGAGCAGGAGGGGACTAGAGGGGGTTGCTGCCTGACACTGTATTTCAGGAAGGTTTTTGTTTTGTTTTGTTTTTCACTGAGTTTTTAGATCCAGAAGTTAGAATTTCAGAACTGGACTCATTTCAGAACAGGGAGGAATACTCTGTAGGATTCTTTCTTTACGAACCGTGCAAGCAAAATTATGTCTGTGATTTTGACAATTTTCGAGTTTTAACTAGGAGATGAAAATTACAGTTAAAAATAAGAGGCCACAATAGTGAGTTTAAAATATGCCCTAGACAGTCTTTGAAAACTTGTCACCTTAACTGCACATTCTAATCCTGAATCCCCAGGGCATCATGTACCCCTCTGTGAGGCAACTGATGGGGACACCAAGACCATGCTGTAACTGACTCTGTGGTTATAACACGAAGACAGGATTTTTAAAAAACTTATTACTCATGTACCTTAGCTTTAGCTCTCGGATGACAGAGGTCTGCATGTCAACTTAAATTCAGATATGAAGTTCAAGACTACTGACACTTTAAGTAGAAGGTACATATAACAAATAAATAGAGAATATATGTATCACTGAACAAGAGTGTCCTGAGACATTCTGACAATGTGATACACTGGGTGGCAATGTATTCAGGATTAACACAGGATACCATACTCAATGCAGACTTATAAAAATACATATTTTACATAAATTATGCTTTTCACAGTAAATTAATATTTATCACATCCCATGATCTTGGAATAATGTTGTTTTCAAAGAATTAGACGTGTGCAAATTAATTGTGCTCATCATAAATGTCAACTCAATTTTTTTTTAACTTTTTAGGTATTCGTATGCAGAAAAACAAATTTGTTCCCTATATTCCGTGGCGTACCAGGGCAAGAAGCCTACTGTTTTAAGCTACCTGGCCTTTCCTGCAAGGCACAAAATTCAAGAAAATCACTTTTCTTGATAGAAGAAGAAATTGATAGAAGAAGAAGAAATAGAAGAAATTTATCCTTCTGTCAAGTGTCTCTTTTTTGAGTGACGAATCCCTGAGCTGACAACCTCTTAAGCACCTATAGGACAGTTTCTTCCACTGCTCACAAAAGAGGAACGCTGATGCCAAGGTAGTTAGCTGAAGATGTGAGGTAGCTGAAGATGATAAGCCTTTTGTCATGGCACAGAATGCCCCTATAACATAGCCTGCTCTGTCCCTTTGAGAGTTACACCTCAGATGAGTCACAGAGATAAAGGATGCCTGTGCACGTGTGCTCTATTATGTGGGGAATACATTCTTTCTATTCTTGAGGGATTCATTTGAATCAATTTTATAGATTGTCCATGGAATTTCACATGTGAACTAACAACCTCAAAGAGCTAGCACGCTGAAGGAAAGAAGAAAACTCCCTTGATCACGATGATTTTTAGCGTGTCCACTGTAATCTAAGTGAGACACCAGCATGCTCCCCTGAGACTTTGTGCCCCAGCTGTGTTCCCCTTCCTGTGACATGGCCCTTCCTCGAGTGGAATCCGGGGGAAAATCCCAGGGTGTGTTGCCAAGGCACATACGTAAATGAGGTTTTCATGTCCGGGCAAAAAGAGTTAAAAGCTTTGCACACAAGGGTTCTTGGTAAATTCCACATCTGAACTCAAGGTATTAACTTGGCAATGCTATCATCACCCTTGAAAATAAGTGCCATGGGCATGTCAGCCTTTGGGGAGTCCTCCGAATGGTTCACTCTTGGAATAGCTGCTGTCACTTGCAACATCTTGGTCTTTTTCAAACTGCAGGAGGAGGTTATCTTCCCAGTGGCAATCTCTGGAGGACACACGCCCATCTGCATTTAATTAGGTTCACTGGACAACTAAAAGAACAAATACACTCTACCTACCATGGAGCTGCAATTTTCTGTATTTGGTCCCCCCCAAAGTTGGGTCTTTTACCCTGAACAGTCAACTTGTTGGGAAAGAGCTTTCACTATGAAATATTCTAGTCTGCAGACAAATCGCTTTATTTTCCACAGGCCCCTTTGGAGGGTTCTCACTACAAATTCATAAGTGGCTGGCCGTTTTATGTAAGATTCTACACAAGGACAAATTGCTCCTTGCTGGCCAAATCCAGGATGCCTAACACATACACTGAGTCGAACTACTTCCAAACACACACACTCATTCTTCTTGGGGAGGGTAAAGATGTTGAAATGATCAGTCATGCACAGAAGGCCACGGGCGGCATCAGCTCTAAGTGAACAGATCAGCCTAACCTGAACTGGTTATTGTTGAAGGGAGTGGAACTTAAAAAGAAAGTCTCTCTCTGTACAGTTTTAATAAATTAATTCCTAAGGAACTCAACCCAACACGAGTATGACTTCCAAAATTCTACGCTTGTCTACTATTCCATTTCTTCTGCCCCGTATATTCTAAATGATCCAGGAAGACTCTGTTCAGTGGATTTCCCCATAGAGCAAGAAGCATCTTACCTTGCATGAAGAAGGAGCTGGGGAAAGTGCTGGTTGCTGGTTTTGAGGAAGGATAGCCTGGCGAGTCCCTGTTGTAGTCGGCAGTGCTTGCTGAAGGAGCATAGACCTGCAGGAAAAGAACCAGGAGAATTCCGCTTACTGCACTGACCAAAGCACCTCAAGGGCCATGATTCATATGAAGCAGGCAGAAAATGTGAAATTTCTACCCTGTCCAGCCTAAATCTGATCGAATGCAAGAAACACTGCACCTTTCAGAATAGTGAAACAAAACAAAACAAAACGCTCAGTATACTTGTGTAAAGAGAAAATACTCACGTATGATATTTTCCAGCTATAGGCTGAAATATTGCAAACCGCGTCTAGTTGTAAATACACTATAATACCCATAGGGTAGTCCTGAGAGTCGAAGTGTTCCTTTTTTGGTTTAAAACACAGATGGCCCATGAGCATGTGCAAGGTAAAAACAAAAAGACATGCATCTAGTCTCTCCCAAATGGTAGAGTAAAAATTCTACCTTTCAGTTAAAATTTTCACTTTTACAGAGAGAGAGAGAGAGAGAGAGAGAGAGAGAGAGAAAGACAGAGAGAGAGCATGAATAAACTATCTAAACCACAGAAAGAGATGTATATATATATATCCTGGAATATTAAGACCCGAAAGTGTCAGCTTTTGGCAGACATACACGAAAAAGGTCATTAAAAGCCTGGATTTATATACATAAGACCACCAATATGTATGAGTAGGAAGGAGAGGGGTGTTTCTCTTTTTATTGCTTATTATATATGTGCGAACAATAAACTTTAAAAGTATATCAAAACCTAATTTACTTACATTCATTTACTAATACTTATGAGACTGGAGGAAATAGTTCTTTATTTAAAAAAATAGCTTGTATATTTTCTTGTTTGTGTTCCCTTTAAACAGGACCGCATAGTAGAAAAGCATAAATGCATAAGGTATAGTTTAAGCTTAATTGGTTTCCCCCTTGCCTTTTCTGCTAAATATAATTTTTCTTAATCCCCATTTTCCTTTGCTCTCAAAGTTCCTCTCTCCAGATGGTCGGAAAGACTGAAACACTGTCATCCTCTTGATGAAAATGGATACCTTCCTGCCTCCATTTTGAAGCAGGCAGCCGCTCACAAAATTGGCAGGGAGCCTACAGTGATATTCACAGGTCACAGTAGAAGGAAAAGAAATTCGCCAATAAAAATGCAAGTGCAGGGTTACCAAAAAATAACTCCACCTCCCCCCCTTTTTAAACAGTACACATCGAATAAACACCCTAAGAAATATTATATAATTGCTCTCAGAACACCATGAATCATAAACTAAACATTAATACAAGGTTTAGGATTTCACAAAGGATAGGTCCACAGAGACAGATGTGGGGGAACTCTGCATACACATCCATACATCAAATAAATGCTACATATGCCCCACAGTGCCCTTGAAAATTGGGAGGTCCTGGAGCTTACACAAAACAAAAACAAGCCAGAAAAACTCACTCACACTGCAGAAAACAAGGATTTTTTTCTTAAGTCACTGACGCATATAAGCCCTGTATTTATTTCACAGGACTATATTTTGTAATTTTTTTATCATATCTTAAATGTATGAACAGCGATCTACTTCTATTTCCACAGAACTTAAGCTAATAAAAACAAACAATTTTTGAGTAGTTTTAAGGAACAAAGAATAAAACTTAGGCCAGGAATCCAAAAACAAACGAATAACCTAAGTTACATCAAGTAAATCTCAGAATTGTCCTAAGAACGAATGATACGACTAATAGTTTGGGAAATATTACGAAATGTATTTAGAGAAGGTCCTGAAAGCCAACCAAAAAGATGAAAGAAATATCATGTTCTAAGAAAAAGAGAAATTGAAAACTGACAGAATGAGGACAATATGACTATAATATATTTACATGCCATTAGCCTGACAGCTATTTGGCCAGTTAATACTGATACATGCTAAGCATACTTTATGCATTTCTTCCAAATTTCAGAGATCAATATATACTACTATGAACTAAAAAAAAAAAATCTCTGACCCATATTATTGAATCACCTGATGTTTTAAAACAATTGAAATAAATTAATTTTAATTGCATCTTTTATTACATTATCCTTGAACACGTATTATTATTATGTCAACACCACCTGATGACACTTAACAAAGTTCATCTTTTTTTCCAATTTGGGTAGAAACACTTGACATTTCTTTTGGGAGATAAGAAAAAAATCTTTGGTTAATCCTGGTTACTTACAAGGAGGCTACTCTGATTATGAACTATAATCAAACTCAAAGGGTAAGATAACTTACCTCAAATTCATAAATAACGTCTGCTTGGAAAACAGTTTCCATGGGGTTAAAAACTTTTTAGGTATATTATACTATGCAATTTCTATTTTTCTGCTGTTGTACACAGTTGAAGACTTTTTTTTTCTTTAGAAAAGATTAAAGTCTTTATTAATAGGAAATGAACTGATGTTTTTAGTTTTTTGGGTTTTTTTTAAAGCAAGATTTATGGAGAGGACAGAAAAGCTCCCGCAGTGGGAGGGGACTTGAGGGGGTTGCTCTGTTTTTAGTTTTCTAAAAAGATAACTTTTGCATATTTTGTAAATTTTCTTTATATAGTAATTTGCAGATTAGATCAGGTACAATGTTATTCCCTTTCCATTCATATACTTTTATCTTTCTTACCTCAAAAGTAATTTTTAAAGGTAAGTTCTCTATATTTTTGCTTATATAATATCACATACAACTGAACTTTTTAAAAGTAGAAGAAATCAACACATTTATTTTATTCAACCCCCCACATTTTGAGTATAAAAAATTCAATAATGAAATGGTCAAAGCAACTAGCTCTTTGTTTTTCACCACTTACTAGGTACTTTCTTTCAAAATGGTGGTGGAGATATAAGATGATATTTATGAAAACACCATGATCATAATGCTCATACTTTACTTTATCTTTAATATGCTGGACAACCAGTGAGCTGCTTTGTTATTTTTACTTCACTCAACTATTTTGTCAATTTCTCAATCAAGACTTCGGACTACAGGTTTCAATAAGGCATTTAATAATGATATTAAATTCAGTAAGAAAAGCTCACTTCTATTTAGTTTTCAGTATTATTTTTCTAGATACATAGAAGGCTTAATAATACAATTGTCAAACAAAATAACCTTAGTTAATAGATAACAACAAACACCCTAGATCTCTTCAAATAGTTGGACTTATTTCTAGTCACTAATACCAGAAAATCAGTCCAATCTAAAAAATGAAGTAAAAAATCCCAAACTCCAGGGCAATGTATTGAAGTGACTTTGACAATGAAATATGAGGAAAATCTAACGGGAAACAAAATCTACACTTAAATTTTTCTCCAACAAGGTGTTTAAGTCAAGGTGATTGTGGCATTCTGATTCTTCCCACAAGAGTAACTAAGGAAGTGTGAAGTTTTTCCGGCCAAGTTGGAAATGGGGAAGCTTGGTCAAACTCATAGGTCACAGCCTTTTATTAAATTATGTGCTGAGCAAAAGCTTCATGGAAAACTAATAACATGGCATATTTAATATTCAGAGTTAGCACTATGAGTTTTCTCTTACAGTTCTGAATTTAACACACAGTCGTACAAACAGAAATTCTGAGTTTAACACAGTTCTCTAGAAAACACTAAATCTTGAACTGACTAAGATTTTTTTAAGTTTTCATTTTACAGATTTAACTTTCTTGGTGTGATTTTTACTATGTACTACTAAGTAATAAGTATTATAACTAAGTAATACTAAGTATTACTATGGTGCATTAGCTGTTTCATTCAATGTTCCCAACTACCTCTTCTGCAGGCATCTAAGAAAAATGAAGCCTCTGCCTATCAGAAGAGAAGAAACAAGCAAACACACAAACCAACAAACAAGATGAAGAAGCATGCCTCCTATCTTATCCTTTTGATACTCTCATTTTTATTGGTCTTGGCATGTCAGTTTCACTAATGGAGATTTTGAAGCAATAATGATTATTGTTTGTTTAGGGTCTCTTGTGGAACCGTGTTTGTGGGAGGAATTCCATGTAGGTTATTTCTAATCTTCATAATGATCACACAAGGTAAAGATTATTAATAGTATCATTCCTATATTACAAAGCTGAAGTATCGTAGAGGTGAAGTGTATTGGCCCAAGTCAGCTTGGGTCTGAATGGGAGTTCCATCGCAAATTATTAGCTAGGCACCCTTAGACCTGTTACTTTTAAATCTCTGGTCTTTGGATTCCTACCTGTATAATGGAAATGACAATGCCAGCAATGCCAAGTTCTTATGTGAATTCAATGGTATAATACGCGGAAAGCCACTAGAATGGAACCTAGAGATTATTAAGCATGCAAAAACCACCAGGCATTAGTGTTGATGTCATGTTGCCCTTGTGCTGATTGTCTGGAAAAATGCAATTCAGAAAGGTTGGGATACCTTTCCACATTGTAGATTTTTCAAGAGGGAAAGCATCATCAAAGTCTATGTTCTTTCCATTAAAAAAATTCTTCACTCTTAAAAGGCAAAAAAGGGAAAGAAAAGAGACTTTTAAGTATTAATATGAGGCTATACTTTGGTCACAATTTATAGAAATAGTCTTGTGGGGTCTGATAATTGAGAAAAATAAAGGCATATTTAGAGTAAACCAAGTATATGTGAAGTAACCTGCTTCCTGAAGTAGAAACCTTAACTCAGAGGGGATTAAGAAAGGTGGCTTCACTGGGCGTGGTGGCTTACGTCTGTAATCCCAGCACTCTGGGAGGCAGAGGCAAGAGGACTGCCTGAGCCCGGGGTTCGAGACCTGCCTGGGCAACTTGGCGAGACCTTGACTCTATAATAAATAAATAATTAGCCGGGCGTGGTGGCGCGCCTGTGGTTCCAGCTACTTGGAAGGCTGAGGCGGAAGGATCACCTGAACCCAGCAGGTTGAGGCTGTGGTGGCCGTGTGCAGCGAGCATGCCACTGTACTCCAGCCTGGGTGACAGAGTGAGACACCAACTCAAAAAAAAAAAAAGGTGACTTCATATCATGTATCATGAGGAGTGTCACCACGTGGGATTGGAAGACAGCC